AGGAACTTAACTTTTAAGTGTCCTGCTTAAGATATTACTCTGTTCAGGAAAAAAGTAGCTGATGTAATGTGATATTTAATAATGAACTTTGCAGTTTTTTAACAGAGGGTATAAAAACGTTTAGTTTTGCTACACTATAAAGGTAAAAGTAAAGAAACAGGGTGGACCTTCATAGACCACAGGAAAAATACCATGCTGTATTAGGATGAAATTACTTACTATTTCTTAATGTTACTTAATACTGTTTACTAGAACATAGTTCACTTTACATATTTCTTTATGTTTCAGATGCAGAAAGAAAAAGCTTGTACACTCTCTTTCTGGAATCCGTGCAGTCCCGGCTTCGACGTGGAGAAGATTCCACTCCACAGGTTCTTACTGAGCAACAGGCAACCAAAGAGAACCTAATCAAGATGCAGTCCATTGCTGAAAGGCATCTTGAACTGGATGATATTCATGATCCCCTGCTTGCCATTAACTTTGCAAGGTGTGCACACCTGCAAGATTTTCAGTGGTCGAAATGGTAGAATCTGTGCAATGTTTATAACTCTTTGTTTCTGCCAGGTAGAGCTTTCCAGCCTTAAACACAAAAGTCCTTGTAGCCTATCCTTTCTGATGAACAGAGTACAAGAAGATGTTGTGTTCCCTTATTTCAAATGTATAGTATGGCGTCTGTGTTGTTTGTGGAAGTCCGGCCATCTTGCCTCTGTGCCCTCAGGCCCCTCAGGGTGCTGTCACTTGCCCCAGAGATGTTCCTGAAAGTCTAGGTCACAGGCGAGTGTCAGGCACACCTTGAGTTGGGGTCTCCCTTGGCATAAAACGTGTCTTAGGCTTAAGCTGCTTTTAAGCACTTAGACTAGTGGAATAAGTTGTTAATGCCCACACAGTGCTGACTGTCTGATGGCCAGCATTCACTGTGTGCAGTCCTAATAACTAGAACGACCTCCTCCAGTACCTGACCCTGAGGCAGCAGCGACTCTGAAAGACTGGTTCACTCAAAGGATATTTTGAGGAGAAAGATTTCTCTCTTTCTGTAATAGTTGGCAATTTTAGGACCAAAGGTAAAAATGGGACTCTGGGGGTTTGACTTAAGAGAATTCTGTTGACAGTAGCTCATGAAAAGAAGACTCATGTTTTTTTCTTGAAGGTTGTATTTGGAGCAGAGTGACTTTCACGAGAAGTTTGCTGGTGGAGATGTATGTGTGGATAGATCGTCGGAATCTGTGACATGCCAGACTTTTGAATTAACACTGAGATCTTGCCTCTATCCTCATATTGATAAGCAGTATCTAGATTGCTGTGGAAATCTCATGCAAACTCTAAAAAAAGATTACAGGTGAAAAGGAGTAATTTAATTTTGAAAGTAGTCAATAGCTGATTATACCCTAAGAACAGATTATTAAAACCTGTATTTCAAGTCAGTTTTTATTAGAGTGGAAAATGGTTATGCAGTGAATGATTTTTTTGAGAGGATCAATTGACCATCAGTATTTTCATAACTATGTTGTGAAATTTAATTTTGTTTATTTCCGAGACTCTGTCCCAAAAGAAATACAAAAAAGCTTATTACACAAGAATACCCATCACAAAGTTTGCTATTAGAATGAAAAACATGAAATTACTCAGTAATAGTGGCTAGTTCTTTTAACTATGGCATATCCATAAATGTGGCATTACTGTATCCATGTATGAATTTTGTAAAGTTCATAAAAATTATGTTGATTAAATAGTAGGATATATGATATGGTAGAACTATATTTTTTTAAGTGCATAAAAAAAATACTGGAAAGAAATACTCCAAATATTAACTGTAGAAATTCATGCATGGTGGGATTTGGATTAATTTTTTGTTGTTACATTTTTGTGACTGCCCAATTTCCTATTTTCTTTTTTTTTTTTTTGGAGACAGGGTCTCGCTCTGTTTCCCAGGATAGAGTGCGGTGGTGTCATCATAGCTCACTGCAACCTCAAATTCCTGGGCTCAAGTGATCCTCCTGACTCAGCTTCCCAAGTAGTTGGGACTACAGGCACACACCGCCACGCCTGGTTAATTTTTCCATTTTTTGTAGAGATGGGGGTTTTGCTCTTGCTCAGGCTGATTTTGAACTCCTGATCTCAAACGATCCTCCTGCCTCAGCCTCCCAAAGTGCTGGAATTACAGGCATGAGCTACTGTGCCTGGCCCAATTTTCTATTTTCTATAATGATATAGAAAGATACCATTTCTTTTGATTATTTAAGGAAAATGTGCTATTTTTATCATTGAAAAAAGTCTTTAACAGGTGTTAACAATTCTAATTTTAGTAAATGTAGGATATAAACTTGTTTTACTAGAAATGTCAGGGTACAACACCTGGTATTGATCCAGAATCCTGCCTTATGAATGTCAAAGATCTTCCTGTTGCTTATTTTCTTTCCATTCAGGTTGGTAGAGTACTTGCAGGCCATGAGGAATTTTTTCTTAATGGAAGGTGGAGATACCATGTATGACTTCTACACGTCAATTTTTGATAAAATAAGAGAAAAGGAAACCTGGCAGAATGTGTCTTTTCTTAATGTCCAACTCCAAGAAGCAGTAGGACAGCGTTATCCTGAAGATAGTTCACGGTAAAATATGCAAGGCACCTTTTTTTAAAATTAGTATAAAATAAACCATGTACCAAGAAGTCTTCTATGAAATACATATATTATTTCATCCTCACACTGTCCCTATATGTCTTACCAATATTATTTTTCATATTGGAAAATTCAGGTAGTGGGTAGCTAAGTGACTCCCAGTAAGTGAGAGAAGATGAGGTGGGCCTGTGCATCCTGCAGGGTCCAGTGGCCTCCCCCGTGGGCTTGGAGCCTGTGCTTCCTCTCTCAGCTCCCACACCTCACTGGCTGCCAAGTTCATCAGTCCTGTCTCCTAGGGACCATCCCCCACCCTCTCAGGGCTGGCTCAGAGCTCTCCTGACTGCCTGTGGCCCTCATCCTTGCTCCCTCCCACCAGAAGGGACTTGAGCCTCACCAGAGTGACTGTAGAACACTAGCACCACCCTCCACTGCACACGCTCAGGCTCCTCATGGGTGCCTCCTAACGGATGGGCTAGGCTAAGCTTCGTCTCAGGAAAGAGAGCTTTTTACTGTCTGGCTCCATTTTCCCAGCCTCATGTCCTACACACATAAACACCATCCTCTCTGCTGCCACACTTTGCACTTTAGGGACTTGGAAATACTTCTGGGTTCCCCAAGTGCTATTCTCCCCACCACCCAATGACATGCTCTCCTGTTCCATGTGGTCTGCACGCTCCATGTCTTCATGTGTCTACCCTGTGCTGGGAGTCCCAGAAGGGAGGAAAGATCGGCTCTCTATCGCCTGCTTAGCTCAGCACCTGACGAAATATTTAGCAGATGCCTCTTGAGCACTGGGTGAATGCAGATATATCAGACTCTGAAGAGCTAAAAAAATTCTGACTAGTTCCTCTGCTTGGAACAAATCTGCTAATTGATAATCTCACAGTGCCCTTTACAGCTCTGGCTCAAGGTTAACCCCTCACTTTACACCTTCCATAGTGTGCATCCAGGCATCATCTCTTAGTACCTCTGTGACTGGGAGAGTTGGCTCATTTCTCAGTAACCACCGGTGGGACTGTTGTGAGGATTAACTGAGACAAGGGCACTTTCAGTGCCTGGCACCCGAACATTTCCATGTACGTGTTTGTTGCTTTCTTTCTCTTGAGAGTCATTCAAAACCCATCTTAGGAATGCATGGATAAAGCAGTGCCTGACACCTTTGCTGTAGGAGGCTGCATCTCATCCAAATGGGGCTCAAGAAGGTGCTAAGCTCACAAGCGTGGCTCACCTCACATGATATTCTCATCCTCCCCCAACCCATCCTGAGCCTGTTGCCTAAATTTTACCAGAATTAAGCTCCCTGCCTATTACCATTATATTTTCTTCCCCAACTTCCGCCTTTTTTTCCAGTTAACTTATTACCATTGTTAAGTATCTCTTGTATAACTAAACTCATTATTTAAAAGCTTCCCCCTCCCTTATTTCTAAAACCAATTTTCTGTTCTAGAGTATGTTAGAAAATATACATTTATTGGAAATTTGCATTCCTTTTACGAAATACAGTATCTTGTTTGGAATATTACGTAAATAAATGTTAAAATACTAGTTATTTTAAAAGGACATTTCTATATAACATAGTACTTTTACAAACTAAAACTGAAATTTCTTTTATTTAGTCTGTCTATATCTTTTGAAAATGTTGACACAGCTAAGAAGAAACTACCTGTTCATATTTTAGATGGTCTGACGCTGAGCTACAAGGTATGTGCTGATATTCTTTGTACAAACATTGTTTTCTGTTAAAATTAAAACATTCAAGTAATGGTTACTTTTTATTCTAATTTTATGTTCTTGTTTTCATAGGTCCCATGGCCTGTGGATATTGTCATAAGTTCGGAATGTCAAAAAATTTACAATCAAGTGTTCCTTCTCTTATTGCAAATAAAGTGGGCAAAATATAGTCTGGATGTTTTACTATTTGGTGGTAAGATTTGTTTTCAGCAGATAAATCATAATTTAATTTTAGCCCTGAGAAAAAGAGGTTGTTGGTATTTGATTGTTTTTTTCTGTGTATACAAATGCCAAAATGAAGAGTATTATAGCAACAGTTTTAGAAACATCAAGTATCTGAATAAAATATCAAGAAGTTGTATGTACATTTGATCAAAAATGCAACAACTTGATTAGGAATGTAGCCAGAATAAATATTCTTCTTGGGTTATGCAAAAATTTCTAGTGACAAGTTAATGGGACTTTTACCTATTTCATGATAGTGAGAACAAACGTGATACAGGGAACTTTTCACACTTTGTCTTCCAAAGGCACTGAAGTCTGGTCCCTGCCGTGCCTATGTCAGAGTGCTTTCTTCAGGGCTGCTGCGCCCCTCACAGTTCTCACCCTGTGTGATAGTGCAGTCGCTCTTGCCACCCACTTCGTTCTTTCAATCTTTTATAGAGCTGGTTGGTACTGCTGAACGACCACAGTTTAAAGAAGGCCTTCTGCATGAACAAGACATAGCTGCTCAGTTTGGACCACCAAAAGAACCAGTAAGACAGCAGATTCATCGGATGTTCCTCTTAAGAGTGAAGCTCATGCATTTTGTGAACAGCTTACACAACTACATCATGACCAGGGTTTGTGTCTACCTGTCTGCCTCAGTTCTGTCACCTTATTTATACAGTGGAGTCCACAAAATACTTACAGATTGTGAAAATGGAACATATAACAAATTCGATCATAAAATAACATGGCAGTGGGGAAAATTTTTTTTAAACATTCCAGAATATGTGTACCCAGAGACTATTGTCCCTCTTCTCCAGCAGCCCCGTGGTGCAGCTACAGCCCCTTTTGAAATTGCCTTCAGAACTTGCTGCATAGTCCTTTAAACTTCATCAGTGGTGACAGCTGTCCCTAGAAAATGGCTTCAGTATTTAATAACAGCCAAAATTCTCAGGCTAGTGTGGTGTGAAGGAGGAAGATGCAGCCAGATTATGTACTTTTTTCTTAAAAACAAGAAGTAAGTCACTACAAAGTAAATGAAACTGCTTTTCTTATACATCTTAAAACCACTTCTAGAGGAAGTTCTGAAAGAGGAGTTCAGATATTTGAGCAAGAGCAGTATTATTAGAGGATAGTACTCATTTGTGGTTTAAAATTTAGAAACCCCCTCATTCATACCCATTCTGGTGTATGAGTTCTAAGACCCTTCTTGTTGGGATGAAGTGACCCCTGAGGCCTGTGTGTTAGGCAGGAAGGGTGTGGCAGATGTGCTCTGTGCTCCTGCTGACTGTTCTACTGGCCTTCACGGGGCTGGCCCTATGCCCTTAGTTGTTAAGAATAAATAGTAGGAGTTTAAGTTTCTTCCTAGTTTTTTGTTTTTTATTTGAAGTACATCTGTGTTCCTTTTAGAGAAAAACCAATATATGAAAAATGGAACTTGTAAAAACATATAGGTGTATTGTAATTATTTGTATTATAAAAATAATACTTGCATTTATAACACATTTACCTGATAATTTTTTTTAAATCAGTGCATCTTCTATGCAGTTTGATGTCCTTGCCCCTTCCCCCAGGAAATCTGTTAGTCCGCGGAGTTGGGCGTTCATTCCCTGTGTAAGTGGGTGTCCTATGGGACTGGCCCACTGTCCTCTTAGGATCAGAACACATCTAGTCAGCCTCTAAAGAATGGTACTTGATGAAACTTTACAGATCTGATTATTGAAGGAAGAATTTGAGAGGAGTGGAAGAAGTTGATAAAAAGTTTTATGTGCAGCACAGGAGTCCTCAAAGAAGTCTGCTGATTTAAGCTTTTCATCTTTCTCTTCCAAGATTCTGCACAGTACAGGGCTAGAGTTTCAACATCAAGTCGAGGAAGCTAAGGATTTAGATCAATTGATTAAAATTCACTATAGATATTTGTCAACCATCCATGATCGATGTCTGCTGAGAGAAAAGGTATGTGAGATTTCTCTTGCAAATGTGGCCATGGTGGCATGAAGGAAGCTGGGTGTGTGGGGCTGTCTGTCTGCTTTGGGATTTTGTGATTACAAAGCTTCTGTCCTGCAGAATATTCTTTAAGGAAGGACTAGATCAAATGTTGCAAATGAGCTCCCTGTTACTGGAAATTACATCTAAGAGAAACGTGAGAGCTGTGTTTTGACAGTTGACCTGTGTTATATTTGAATTCAGTTGGAAAACTGTCTGCAGTTGTGGAGTAATTGTACATTCAACCTAGTGTAAATATATGAAATTATATAATATTGCAACCATTGGAATTACTTGTCCCAGTTTCATTGGTGAATTTAAATGGCTATCCCAGGAAAATGGTAACTTGCTGTGTTGGTTTGACTGTACTGCTAATGCCACCTGGGTCCTGTGCATAGTAAATGCATGGACCCAACCCCAGGTGGGCTTGGTTCAGAGCCTAGCACCCTTCCTTATACATATAGAAGGTAGTCACTGTGCTGATGCACTTTTTCTTTGACTCATTTAAATTAGGTAAAAGTGTTGGTATCAGTGTCCAAACCTAGTTACAGAGTCTGTGTTCTGTGACTTTGGTCTCCAGGTCAGCTTTGTGAAAGAAGCTATCATGAAAGTGTTGAACTTGGCTCTCATGTTTGCAGACGGCTGGCATGCAGGCCTGGGGGCTTGGCGGTAAGTATGTAGCTCAAGAAGCATCTGTGTTGTGACCATTTTAAGCTTCTCTTTTAACTGCCTTCATTCAAGGAGCCTTTTGTCATCCTGGCAATACATCATAACCACTATATTTAAGAAGAATTTGTTCACTAAAACTAGACAGCATCAAGTTTTGTGTAATTCTTAGCTTGGCAAAGTGGTGCCCAGCTGTAGTCCCAGGTCCTTGGGAGGTTAAGGCAGGAGGATCACCTGAGGCCAGGAGTTCGAGACTAGCCTAGGCAACATAGCAAGACTCCATCTCAGAAAAAAAAAAATTTATACAATTCTGTTATGAGAGGTAAAATAATAGGAAAAATCTGGTCTTTTACTTAGGATGAACAAATATTCTTAGACTATATTCATGTTTTGTTATATAAGTTTTGTTAAATTTTTATTATGAACACCTTCGAGCATCTACAGAAGTGGGGAGAATGGCATAGCAAACCCTATGTGCCCATCACCCTGCTTCAGCAGTATCAGTGAGGGCCAGCTGTGTCATGGCTGCCATCCACCCCCACTCACATTTGCTGAATTATTTTAAAGCAAATTCTGGACATCATGGTAGATTGTAATCCAAAGTTGTGTCTTGGATGAGCCCTAAAAGATATTGTATAACTTAGAGTGTTTGTTATTCACATGTGTCATATATTAATAGAAAGGCAAATGCCCTGAAGTGAAGCGACAGTTGAGGATCCAGGAGCTCTTCCTGTCCAGCAAAGACCATCCTCTACTGTTAACTCGAATGTACAGCTCAATATTTTGTCCCTGTCTTGTTTGTAAAATGAACGCAATGATAATTCTGCTATTACTTTCCTGAATAAAAAGTACATGTCTGGTTGACCAGGCTGTTATGATAGTTGTTTGTCCTTGGTCCGTATTAGTGAAGAGACGAGAGTTCATTATGGTGCTAGTGTAATTCAAAATCTTAACCTCTGTCTATACTCTAAATGAACAAACTAAGACAGTAGGTAAAAATAATTGCAAGGGTGGAAATAGAAGTCTTACTTGTTTTGTTATTGCTGTCTCAAAGTGTGTAAAATAATTTCGTTTTTTGTGTCACTATGGAGTGGAGGAGAAAATAACACTGCACATATGCTTTGCTAAAATTGAACTCTTTCAATTTCTTCTACAAATAAATTGTGAGGAAAAAGCAGGATGTGAGGGGACTTAAGAAGAATATCAAGCACCACAGTTTATGGAAGTTCATTGATCCTGATTCAGACTTACAGCAGAAAAGTGGGGCCAGGCATGGTGGCTCACGCTATAATCCTAGCACTCAGGGAGGCTGAGGCAGGAGGATCACTTGAGGTCAAGAGTTCAAGACCAGCCTCAGCAAGAGCAAGACTCCATCTCTACTAAAAATAGAAAGAAATTAGCTGGACAACTAAAAATAGAAAAAATCAGCCGGGTGTGGTGGCACACACCTGTAGTTCCAGCTACTCGGGAGGCTGAGGCAGGAGGATTGCTTGAGCCTAGGAGTCTGAGGTTACTGTGAGCTAGGCTGATGCCATAGCACTCTAGCCCAGGCAAGAGAGTGAGACTCTGTCTCAAAAAAAAAAAAGAGAAAAGTGAAAAATTGTGGAAGTAATGTGAAATTTGCTTGAATACCATTGATTATTTGAAGACATTAAAGAAACATTATTTTTAAGTAAATGATATTGTGGCTGTGTTTTGAAAGGAGTCTTTATATTTGAAGTATACATTTATACTTACAAAACATATGTAAATGAAATGCTCTGATGTCTCAAATTTGTTTCTCAATACTGTGGTGGGGTTGCGGAGGTGTAAGCCTGGTACCTGGCATGGGTGCCAGTGAAGGCTTGGTGCTGGGCCATGGAAGCCTACTATGAAATTCTCTTTTGCATGTGTTTGACATTTCCCTTTTTTTAAAAGAAGGGGGGGACTTTTATTAAATAATTTCAAATTTTAGGGCTTTTTGTTTGAGTAGCATTGTTTGTGTGACATGTAGATGAGCATTGTCTTGTAAGAGGATTGGCCTGTCTCTATTGACCAATCTTGGCCGTTTAATCGCAAGCATCCTCATCATTTCGTCCAATTGGGTACAGTAGAAATCCGCTGTAATTGATTGACAAGGTTTCACGAAACTGTAGTGGATAATACCAGTGCTGGACCACCAAACAAATCATTAGCTTTTTTCGATGGATATTTGATTTGGACTGTGTTTCAGCACTTTATCCAGTCATTGTGCAGAACGCCTGTGATTGTCAAAAAGAGTCTGTTTTTTATCACATGTAACAATACGGTATAGAAATGGATTGCCTTTATGTTATGACAGCAAAGAAAGGCAAACTTTGAGACAATTTTTTCTTTTGACATTTGTTTAATTTTTGTAGACCCATCTATCCAGCTTCTTTACCTTGTCGATTTGTTTTAAATAGTCTAGTATTGTTGGAAGAGTAATATCAAACCTGATTGTAGGTTGAGATGGATTTGCTTCCGCTAACAGTTCTTAGTTTACCATTATACCCCTTGGTCTCAGGTCATCCACGTGGCTCATTTTTAAGATTAAAGTTACCAGAATGGAACTTTTAAAACTGTCAACATACTATGTGTTCATTAGCCACATCTTTTCCAAACTCTTTGTTGATATTTTGAGCTGTGTTGTATTGATGACAGAACTCATGTTTGAAAGTAATACAAATTTTTGACCCATCTATGGTTGTACAAAAATTTTTCCAAAAAAAAACCTTGGAAGAGAATCACAAATCTAAATGTGCATTTGAAAGAATGAGTATGTACCTTTACAATAAAAATAAAAAAAGAAGTATCAAAGTGAAATGTCACAGATATCAACTGTCAAACTTAGTATTTAAGGAGATCGGACATTTCATACTTAATAACCTGATACTAACCTCCTATGCACTTACTTAAATTGAAATTTACTTTTTTTCCTAGGATGGAATCTATAGAGAAAATGGAGTCTGATTTTAAAAACTGCCATATGTTTCTTGTAACCATTTTAAACAAAGCCGTCTGTAGAGGATCTTTTCCCCATCGTGAGTATATCATGTTAAAATATTACTACTTGTATATTTTCTTTTAGCTTAGTCTGTGTATCATTGTTTTGTTACTGATTGCATGAAGAATTAGAATTTCTCACCATTTTCAAAACTGAAAAGTCCCTTAGCAGTTGTGCCATGCTTTGAATTACTTTTTCAGAGTTACAGTGAGGTGAGTGAATATCAAATTAAAGCCTAAAATTAAAGATGTTACTTTCTAATATACCATTGATTACACCAGTAGATTTCTAAAACTAATATTAAATAAAGCAGATGATAGAATAGATTTCTGTCATACTTTACTATCGTGTAATTTTTGTAACTGTTTCTTTTCAAAAGATAGGTTTGTTTTTGTTTTTTGTTTTTAGCAATTTTAAAACTCCCAAGGCTGCCTCTTATCACAAGGAAATGTGTACCTGACAGTTCAGAACTCAATGTGCGAAGTAGGCAGAGAGGTCTGTCGGGGGGGTATGGGGAGAAGAAAGCCATGTAATCTGCAGAAATAAAGAGCTAAGTAGTATCTTTTTGCCTGACTTTTTTTGGTAAAGTATACAGTTAATCTCTCCCATTTCTGCATATTCAAATTGTAATATAATTATTAAGCATAGCTGAACACTTAAAAAATACTGTTAGAATAGTGTTAGAGGAATCATTAATGCGATTGTCCATTTTTGCATTGGGTGTTATACAAGAGGTTTCCATTCATAGGTTAGAATGTGGCACTTTGTTAAGTGACTCCTGATTTCATGACTTATGAGGCAGGTGTGATTTATTTGTTCAGTGAAATGCCTGGATTTTTTTCTTTTCAAAATTAAAAATAGAACATATGTTTAAATACACTTTTGAATTTATTAAAGCCTTATTCGAACATTTTAAAAATATTTAGACCTTTTTTTTTTTTTTAACTTTATTTTTATTCTTCCCACAGTGGAATCTCTAGCACTGTCACTCATGGCTGGCATGGAGCAAAGTTAAATATCTTCGGTATAATAAATATCTCAGACTTCACCTTTGTTCAGTTCACCATATGCAGCTGAAAAGTGGAAATGTTTCTATTTTTGTTCATTTTAAAAACTTATCCACAACCTAGGTAAATGGATTGTAGGTATTTTCTCTGAAAATTATTGGGTAGTGTATAGGGTTATGTATATAAAATTGTGTAAATAATGCAAGTGTATATAGGCCATTTACTCTTATATTTCCTACTGTAAGATACAGATTTATGGTATTGATACCTTTAAATTATATCATGTTTGAAAATGTAATTATTGGTATTAAAAATAAATTAAAACACTTAAAATTCTTTTATACTCCTTTTGCTGCTATACTTCAGTCACAGAAGTCTTTTATGTAGAGTTTTATATGCTGTCTTCCCTAAAAGTTATGTTAGATTTGCCTATCCTAGAAGTGTTTATATTTTTTATGCGCCTGGGAAATTGCAAAATTGAAAATAGCTTCAGCCAATATCAATGAATATCAAAAGCCAACCTCACTTAGAGCTAACTATTGGTACATACTGTTGTCTGGTATTTCTGAGCAGTTTTTATGAGCTAACCAGTTATATCTTAAATAAATTATACTTACTGTTTAATTTTTCCACATTTTCTTTGTATACTTCTTAGCATGTGTATTAGTCAGTGTTCTCCGGAGAAACAGAACTAGTGGGACAGAGAGAGAGAGAGATACAGAAGAGATTTATTATGAGGTATTGGCTCATGCAGTGATGGGGTAAGAAGGCCCATGATCTGCCATCTGCAAGGGAGGCCTGGGACAGTCAGTGGTGTAGTTCCTGTCCAAATCCAAAGACCTGGGGACCAGAGGGGCCAGTGGTGTCCCAATCTGACTTCAAGTGCTTGAGAACCAGGAGCACCAGTGTTGGAGGGCAGGAGAAGAGAGGTATCTCAGCCCAAATAGAGAGCAGATCTGCCCTTTCTCTGCCTTTTTTTCTATCCAGGACTTGAGCAGATTGGATGATGCTCACCCTTATTGGTGAGGCATCTTTGTTCAATCCAGCAATGCAAATGCTAAACACTCTCACAGCCACAGCCCCAAATAATGTTTTGCGAGTCATTTGGGCATCCCTTAGCCCAGTCAAATGACACATAAAATTAACCATCATAGCATGTTTCTAATACTTAGGACTCAGTACTATATTTGGTACTTATTTCTTTTCTAAAAGCAATCACTGAGCTCCAAATAGCCCTCAGAGCCAAGCACCAGCACACCCTTCCTCTTAGAAATAATCTTGACCATCTTGAAGCCTCAACATTTCCTACATGGAGAAGGCAAAGCCCGGAGACAAGCCTACTCAAATCCTGGACTTTACTCCTAAGCCTCAGAAGAAATTCACTGGGGAGGCCTTCAAATGCCGGGGATGAACAGCTTCTTCCAGATCTCAAGAAAATACCGTTACTTAGCCCAGCAACTGTGGGGTATGTGAAGTTGCTTGTGGTCTGGTCCTGTAGGTCAGAATGCTATGGAAATTGATGGGAATGTCTGCTCCTGTAAGGCTGACATGATGAAGGGGTCATCATTTAAACAGAGATGGCCTGGCTCTTTCGGTAAAATTCTTTATACTTAGCAAAAAATCATCACATCAGATATACTAAAACACACTCTTGCTAAACTGAGTTATCAGTGTTTCTAAACCTGGGATTAGAGGATAAGTTTGTGGGGCGGGGGGTGGTTTTGTTTTTTTTGAGACGAAGTCTTCTTTGTCACCTGGGCAGTGGTGTGCGGTAGTGCAGTGGTGTGATCATAGCTCACTGCAACCTCCTGCCTCAGCCTCCAGAGTAGCTGGGACTACAGGTATGCACCATTATGTCCAGCTAATTTTTTTATTTTTTGTAGAAACAGGGTCTTCGCTCTTGCTCAGGCTAGTCTCAAACTCCTGGCCTCAAATAGTCCTCCCGCTGTGGCCTCCCAGAGTGCTAAGATTATAGGCTTGATCCACCATACCCAGCCAGAAGGTAAATGTTTAGGAAAGGAAATATTTTCACTTAAGAAAATTAGTATTTGGAATTTGTTGTCACTTAAACTAAGATTTTATTCTCTATCTATATTTGCCCTTTTTTTGAGACTTTAGAGTTTCCCAGTGAAGATTAGCAAGTTTACATTGGGAGAAGAATAGACTTTACAAACTGTCACCAATTGGTTACTTTGAGAAGCAGCCTCTGAGATGAAATTAGATGTGAAACTGCCCCATAGACAGAAGGGAGAGGGAGCCCGACTGGCCAGAGAGGAAAGCTAGTCTGCAATTCAGGTCAGTGGAAGTGGCCTGTCAGGTTGTCCTGTGTTGGGGAAGATGGCCATGCCTTTTTACCTCACCTCGATCAGTCACTGGTGGAGGGTCGCTGGTAAGAGCATGACCTCTGCAGCGGAGACAACCCCAGAAGCAGCTGCAGCTGAGGCTCTCTGCAGACAGCACTCTCAGGAAAGAGGGTGACAATTCTTTCTTGGAGAAGGATCTGGGCGTCACATCGTCATGTCAGCTACATGCATCAAATGATTGAGTTTTCTTAATAAAAAGGCATTTTTAGGCCGGGCGCAGTGGCTCACGCCTGTAATCCTAGCTCTCTGGGAGGCTGAGGCGGGTGGATTGTTTGAGCTCAGGAGTTCGAGACCAGCCTGAGCAAGAGCGAGACCCCGTCTCTACTAAAAAAATAGAAAGAAATTATCTGGACAACTAAAAATATATATAGAAAAAATGAGCCAGGCATGGTGGCTCATGGCTGTAGTCCCAGCTACTCGGGAGGCTGAGGCAGTGGGATCGCTTGAGCCCAGGAGTTTGAGGTTGCTGTGAGCTAGGTTGACGCCACAGCACTCTAGCCAGGGCAACAGAGTGAGACTGTCTCAAAAAAAAAAAAAAAAAAAAGGCATCTTTACACCAAATCTAAGTAAGACCTGCTCTTATCTCATTTTTGTGGAAAAGCTAACACTGTGGTGTACATTGCCCTATCTTATGTGTGAAATGGATTGGATCTTTTTTACTTAATTTTTCTTATTCTGTTTGGACTTTTAAAAGATATTTTTTTAAACCATAAACATTTTTCCAGTCAGGCATGTAAGGAGCCTGTAAGTCATCACTGCCAACCATACAGGAAAGAAACCAAAACTCTTCTTACAGCCATCAGAAAATTGAGGTTACTAAGCAAGTATAGTAAAGTAGTATTTATTAGAATGGGGGTGATGGGTACGTGGGTGTCCACTATAAAGTTCTTTCAGCCTTCCCCGTGTCTGGAATTTTTGATAATATGTTGTAAGAAACAATATCATATAACAGCATTAAAGTTTTCGGCCAGGCACAGTGGTTCATGTACCTCGAGGCCAGCCTGAGCAAGAGCGAGACATCCGCCATCCCTTTCTACAAAAAATAGAAAAACGTAGCCAGGCATGGTGGTTTGCCTGTATTCCCAGCTACTCGGGAGGCTGAGGCAGGAGTTTGAGGTTGGAGTGAGCTATGATGATGCCACTGCACTTCAGCCCAGGCGACAGAGTGAGACTGTCTCAAAAAAGCAAAGTGTCAGTCAGGGCTGCAGTGATTCCAAGGCTCGGAAGAGAATCTGCTTCCCAGCCCCTTCACGTGAGCAGGACTCAGGTCCTCGCTGGCGGTTGGCCAGAGGCATCAGTTCCTAACCACCCAGGCCTCTCCAGGGCTGCTCATAACATGGCAGCCAGCCTCCCTCAGAGCACTGGCGGAGACCCGAGACGTAAGCCACAGTCTCTTTACAACCTTTTACTGGGATCACATCCTCTCACTTCTGCTGTATTCTATTAATAAGTGAATCTCTAAATCCAGCCCACATTCAAGGGGAATGGCTTACATATGGAATGGGTACCAGAGTTGGGGACTTTGGGGGTCCCCTTAGAGGCTACCACAGTCTGCCCTCTGGCCTCCTAATCATTCCTGTCACTTCAGACATCAAAGTACAGGCACTCCCTTTCCAAGATTCCCAAAAGTCATCCCATTACAGCATCAGTTCAGAGTTCAGAACAGCATCATCCAGACCAAGTTCAGGTGCTGATGGGGCATCTCAGTGTAGTTCCTTAAATACAGCTGCTCGCTCAGTTCCTTCCAATCGTAACATATGTGACACTGGAGAGACAAGCGAGCTGCCCCACACGCCGATAGGTAATGGTGGGACAAGCATGGGATAATCACTACAGACATTCCTGTTCAAAGGTGGTGGAGTGGTGGAAATGGGAGGTGGTAATCCCGCTGACCGAACGCTGGCGGTCTTCAGCTAGGTCTGAATAACTCTCCATGGCTCCTAGTCCTGCCCTCTGGTGTTTTGGTTCTGCACTCAGTCATCTTTCCCTTTTCCTAAAAGGTTTCACATTTGCAGCAGAATTGTTTTCTCTGCCTCCTCTTGACAATAGACTCCTGGAAGTCCAAAAGCCTTTCCTCAGTCGTAAGATCTCTGTTTCTTTCAGCCCAAGCCAGCAGTTTTTCTGGTGACATAATACTGTTAAAAACTCTGAGTCTCCTGTGAATCTTCTCAGGTCCACTCTACTAGACAAAACCATAACCATAAATTTCTGTGAAATAAACCTTTTTCTGCCTTGGATTCCTCCTGAGTAGCAACCTTTTTGAGTTTCCTAAAGACCCAATTGTTTGAGAGGATCTGTGGAACACATTCTTAATCTATTTACAGAGCCTTTGTGTCACTGAATGATACTGTGAGGCACAATTTTTTATTTTTCTGATGTCTTAAGATTTTACACTCGTCTTTAGACCATGTTTTCTTGGCAGTGCCATGTATTTGATCTTTGCTCAATGGTCATTTTTTATTTTAGCATCATTGGCCACTTCGAGAGGCTGAGAAATTTCAAAACCATCAATTCTGTCTCCTTTTTCTTTAAACCATTAAATCATTCTCTCAGATTATTGCTTCTCCTCTCACTTCTTACTATAATCAGCAAGAAGAAACGGAGCAGCATCTTTAATACTTTGCTTGAAAAATCTCGTTAGCTAGATCAGTTAGTTCATTAGGTATAATTTGTCCTTTTGGTAAACTGCAGGCAACAGCATTGCTAAACTTTCTGCTGTTACTTAACAAGGACCTTCTTCCTTCAATTTCCAATAACATTTTTCTCACTTTCTTCTAAGCCCTCTTCTGCAACTTCTGCAAAGTCCAAA